AGCTCATCTTTCTTTGTCTCCCTCCAGGAGAATTCCTGAGTTTTGCCGATGACTTACTCTCTGGCCTGGGTACATCTTGTGTAGCAGCTGGTCGAAGCCATGGAGAGGTCCCTGAAGTCAGTATCTACTCCGTCATCTTCAAGTGTCTGGAGCCCGACAGTCTCTACAAGTAAGACATACTTTGTGTGTGGGGAGCGTGAAGCAGACAGGACAGTTTTAAGTCTGGGAGGCAAGGCACGAGTAATCTGTCCAGGCCAGCCGAATGTTTTATCGACCAGTCTGTGTGTGCACCTTAATATGCTAAGGCTTAGAAGTGTCCATTGGAGAAGTATGGCCACAGTGAGTCACAGAATCATACAGGGTTAGTGAGGCCAGTAACTTAAAACTGTCCCTCCTACTGATGAAGAATCTGCAGCCCAAAGAGGGAAAGTGGCAGGTTAGCAAGGAAGGCTGTGACAGGAGTCCCTGCCTGGTGTTCTTTTCTCAATTCCGTGATATTTCCTCTGAAAAATGTTAGATTAGCATATCAGAAGTGTATACGTATATGTAGTATATATACATATAATTTTTTTATTAGTAGATTCATCCAGTCCCTTAGTAATAGTGTCGTCATCACGCTTTCACAGAGCAGATTAGAGTCATTGCATCCAAATTTCTGGAGATGCAAAGGAAGTCATTCTGAGACTCATCTGTTCATCTCAGAGGGAAAACGGGCTCATTTTTTCTCTGTTTCCCAACTCAGTGAGTGTTGCCACATTCGGATGCAACTATCGTAAGCTATAACATACAGTTCTAGCAACCAGCTCTCTTCATTCTCTAATTATGAAACCATAGGCCGCCTCCCTTACTAATCTAGAAAGCTGCAGTTGTTGACAAGGTGGGCATTGTTGTTTTTTTTTTCTTTTTAACATCTTTGCTGAAGTATAATTGCTTTGCAATGGTGTGTTAGTTTCTGCTGTATAACAAAGTGAATCAGCTATACATGTACATCTATCCCCATATATCCTCCCTCTTGTGTCTCCCTCCCTCCCACCCTCCCTATCCCACCCCTCTAGGTGGACACAAAGCACCGAGCTGATCTACCTGTGCTATGTGGCTGCTTCTCACTAGCTATCTATTTTACATTTGGTAGTGTATATATGCCCATGCCACTCGCTCACTTCGTCCCAGCTTACCCTTCCCCCTCCCCGTGTCCTTAAGTCCATCTCTAGGTCTGCATCTTTATTCCTGTCCTGCCCCTGGGTTCTTCAGAACCATTTTTTTTTTTTCGATTCCATATATATGTGTTAGCATACGGTATTTGTTTTTTCTCTTTCTGACTTACTTCACTCTGTATGACAGACTCTAGGTCCATCCACCTCACTACAAATGACTCAATTTTGTTTCTTTTTATGGCTGAGTAATATTCCATTGTATATGTGTGCCACATCTTCTTTATCCATTCATCTGTTGATGGACACTTAGGTTGCTTCCATCTCTTGGCTATTGTAAATAGAGCTGCAATGAACATTGTGGTACATGACTCTTTTTGAATTATGGTTTTCTCAGGGTATAAGGTAGGCATTGTTGACCAATTAATTATTCAACTCATTCATTTTTTTCTTTTATTCATTGATTCATTCACTTATCCATCCATCTATCCAACCATTTATCCATCTCTCCATCCATCCATCCATCCATCCATCCCATTCATCTATTTATTCACTCTTATACTCCATCATTCATTCACTTATTTATTCATCAATTCTTTCATTCATTCACATTTTTATTTACTCATTTGTAACTCATTTACTTATTCAGCAGAGATTGTCTGAAGATTTGCTGTATCTTGGTACTGTGCTAGAATGCAAGTATAAATGTGCCTAAGACAAAGTTTCTATCCTCGGGTAACTTATAACTTAATGGTAGTATGGAAGACCACAGACTGTGGATTCAGATCTGGCTATGACATATTTAGTTGTGTAGCCTTAGATAAGTCGCTTTACCTCTGTGAGCCTCAGTAAAAGAGAAATAATAAAACCCAGGTTGCAGAGTTGCATGAGAATTAAACCAGGAGCAGCCTGGCATAGTATCTAAGTATGTGCTCAGTAAATGTTAGCCCCTTCACCATCTGTAAATCTCCCTCACCTCCAAAATACATCCTATCCCCACTTCCTCTGGAAGACCATGACTTTTCTGAAGACCCCGGGGCTCTTTTGAACGTGTGACATATTGAGGTTCATTGGTAACGCCCAATGCGTTCACGTACCAAACGTGATATCAGGAATATCACCGTAAGATGGAAATCAGGGCTTCTGATTCTGGCTTTGCCACTGACTATCTCATAGATGTTAGGGCCCAAGTTTTATTTCATACAGAAGGGCAAAATCAGTTGGGGACGGTGAGAGCTGTAGGAATGGAATCCCAAAAGTACAACATACTATCAGGTGTCTTCCAGTGGGACATGTGGGCAAACTTCACAGAGGCGATAGCATTTACCTCAGGCCTTCAGTAATGATTTGGTATTTAGATCTTGGGAGCGAGAGTCTATAGCCTTTCGGTCAGTAAGCTCTGACCCCAACCCCTTGGGCTTTAGGGTCACTGCATCTGTGAAACACGAATATGTGACTAGATTATGAGCTGTATGATCCTCTCCAATCCTAAAGACTGATCGTACGAAGAAAACAGTATTTTTGAAAGATTGCCTGTGACTGGCTTCTGGATCTTCTGTCCCTCACTGAGGGCATAGACTGCACTGGAGGCATACAGAGCTGGGTTCAGATCTCCACCCTGCGCTTTATCAGCTTGGCATTGAGTGAGCTTCTCAACCTTCCAGCCTCCGCTTCCTCCTTTGTGAAGGTGTAGGTAATACGGTGTCTGGCTCACTGGGACCCCAAGAGGTTTGATGAGCTCGTAATGCACAGAAGTTCTTCACTTTGTCACAAGCCCCCAGCAGGAGAGTGAGAAGTGTTAGCTGTTATCACCGTTGCGCTTGTTGCCGTTGCTGTAGTAATAATTAATTTCAACTCCCTCCGCCTCCATTCTCCAACTGCTGGGAGAGACAGCATCTAGCAGAGAGGGACCGAGCCCTGGCAGGTGATTCCTATCTGCTGAGACACAAGTAGTAGCCCTGTCTCTGGGTGACATTGTGGGGACTTGGCGTTAGCCAGGCTGGAAACCTACAGGCCCATTATGTAGAAAGCAGTGAAATGTTTTATGGAACCCCGAAAGCAATTAACACTTAGAGCTGACAAATCAGCTGCCATCCTTTAGATAGAAGTGATGAGTGCTCTCCCTCGCCTCTTCTTTTCCTCACTGCCACACACACACACACACACACACACACACACACACACACACACACACACACACACACACACACACACA